TGTGAGCCGCCCCAGGTCCCTCCCTGAAACGACCTCTCACAGGGCGTGTTTACGCTACGTGCCGTCAGTGAGGACTGTTTAACTGGAGAACTAATAGCACGCGGTCTCCCATGAGATGGTCTGTGTGCATCGGAAGAGCTCCCGTAGCGCAGAAAATAGGTTCTCGGAGTGACATGTACACCAGCCCGAACTCGAGCCCGTGTCGACGGCGAAGGGCACGGCGCGCGGAGGCCGGACGGGATAGCGAAATAGTGGGGGGTGAAGGTAAATATTCCGAGGAACACCCCCGTCTTATTGAGTTATCCATCATCTCCCTGCCTCTAGAAACTCTCTACAGCATCTCGATATCGTTGCGAGGCCATCACCAAAGCCCACATGCTGTCGCACAAATTCTCGTCGTTTCTCTCGCAACACCAGGATAAACCGATACAGTTTGATTTCATCTGATGACTGTGGCAGCGGTAAGTGGGTGATCTTCTTTGCATCTCGTCCGGGTTTAAGCTTATACGCAGAGCACCGTCGGGCTCTACGCAGCGCCCTCCAAACCTCCCCCAAACACGCGAAAGCCGGGTTCGCCCCGCCATTACTCACCTTTACGTCTGCGAATCTGAACTCTCTCAGCCCTACCCACCTACACCTTGACATCTTCAGTCGAAACCAACCCCATCTTTCTGTCGGCCTTCATCTGCCTCTGCAGCTGTCTGGCGCGCTTCACACCGAACCCGTGGTTGAAGACCTCGCGGATGTCCTCCAGCGTCATGTTCTTCACCTCCGGGTAGCAGAAGTAGATGGAGACCCATCCGAGCACGCAGATGGCTGCATAGAACCCAAACGCACCCGAGGGCGTCGTGTTCTCCATTTGCGTCAGGAACGTGGATGCCACAATGATGTTGGAGCCCCAGCAGGACATTGTAAGCATCATTGTGCCCATGGCACGCACCTCCATCGGGAAGAACTCACTACTTAGCCACGCCGTGTTGCCGATACCCGACGAGTAAAAACCGACAAAGAATACCATGCTCACGAGCACAATGATAGCCGGTGGCCCCACCGTGGCTCCTTCTCCGAGGGATAAGTCGTGATTGATCGGAATCCATTTGAAAGCCACCGCCGCAACGATCAAGAATAGCCCCATGAACTGCACCGTGCAGAGCAAAATTCTCCTCCGGCCGACCCTGTCAACGAGCAAAAGATTGACAAGAGTGAAGATAAAGTTGGTTCCAGCGATGATGGTTCCGACGGCAACGGGGTTGTCGAATCCCACAAGAGAAAAGATGAGCGGGGAATAATACATAAGGGAGTTGAAGCCGCTTAGTTGGCTGATGGCCATCAAACCACAGGCCGAGATCAACGCGCGAAGGTTTGCGGGAATCACGTACAGCTGCTTGAGCACCCACCACTGTGACTTGCCGGCGTTCATGTTCTTCGCTTCCTCGACGTGGAATGTGATGTGTCGAACCTTCATCTGGACCTGCTCCTCCGTCCCGTTCGGGAAGATTTTTCGAATGACTTTCTCGGCCTCCTCAGACTTACCGTGATAGATGAGCTGTCTGGGAGACTCTGGGCAGAAAGGCAGCAAACAGGCAAGGATAATGGCTGGAATCGCGCCTCCCCCAACCATGTACCGCCACCCGCCCTGTACGTGCGCAAAGCCAGCACCGACGCCATAGCTTACTAGCTGTCCACCCGTGATGCACATGTTGTCGAGACCAATCATGCGGCCCCTGTATTTGGCCGGAGATAACTCTGCAATGTACCTAGTCATGGTTAGTCTACGTTCGTTTTCGCTTCGTTTGTTGTATAGCGTGGACTGCAAGGCTTACATGGGAATGATCATAGCTGCAGAGCCAACGCCGAAGCCGACGACAAGGCGGCCTACTGTCATAACTGCCAGGGAGAACGATGCGGCTTGGAGGATGGCCCCGGCGGTGAACAAGAAGCAGCCGACATAGATGGCAATCTTTCGTCCGAAGCGATCCGCTGTGGCTCCAGCAAAGATGGCTCCGATGAAGGCCCCGCCGGAGGTGATCGAGGTGATAAGCTCTTTTTCAGATGAGCTAAGGGTGTGTCCAAGATCTTGATTAATGTACACCAATACAGCAGAGATGATGCCGGTGTCATAACCAAAGAGCATGCCTCCGATGGCCGCAGTGATGGACACCAGCCACGAGAACTTGCCAGTTTCGGTTTGTTCTATTGAGTCAAGCTCCTCTAGTGGAAGTCGGCCTTCGGAGGAGAGTTTGTCCAGCACAGACTCCTTGTGCTGGACAGATTCCTTGGGGTCTTTGGTGTCCATCTTGGCTTGCAGGATACCGGGTAGACTAACAACAATCTTCCTTAGAGGAAGTAGAAGGCGGATCGGGGTGGGCTATGAGACCAGGTGGTTCTTAGTTCTGGTGATGACAGGCTTCTGTGGAGCAGATGTCCGTCAAAATCTGGGGTAAACCAACATATTATATGGTTGAAGAAGTCTGGTATTGTTGTTGCGCTTGAGAGTGGTCATTCGCACGTCTTCGTCCTTAGCGCGCGTTCGATGAACATCGATAACTCAGCTGAATGGTAACATGGCCGCCATGCTACCTTACATCGCTCCAAGAAGACATCGTCCGCGGTGATAATGACCCAAATCAGACAATGTCATCAATCCATTTGATATGAAATCCGGGGAAGAGGATGGCGATACGATGTTGCGAGCCAATCACAGGAAACACAAATGACAAGCGTGCCGGCACTTCTCCAATATCCAGCCCAGCCGAGCCGAGTCAGGCAGGCACCTTCACCCCAGATTTCCCCAGACTTTATCGTTGACAACCTACCTAGACAGTCACTTGGCGGCCAACAGTTTATAAACCGCGGGATTCTTGGCCAAGTTCAGGGACGCATGTGCATCCCCCGGGGGTCGATGCATCAGCTAATCGCCACGAGCTTAGAGCGGCGCCGGTGGAGTTTGTCGGTTTAGCGGTGGATGCATGGCGTGCGGGGGAAAGTTGCCGTTTTAACAAGGAATAGGCAACTTGTGTGCTAATTCCCTCGCGTTTCCTATTTGACCCCCTTTCAATCCACCGTCTCCCTTGTTTTTTTCTACGAGGCCCCCGAAGGCCCAACATTTGCGCGCCAATTCGCCCTGTTACCCAAGACTTTCCCGCTTGGGCCGGGTTCAGTCAACCGGCCCCTACAACACCTCCGAACAGAGCAATTCCAAAGTTGTCATAAACCAAGAACCGCAGACTTCGCCGGGCGGACACCGCCGCAACACACGTCTCGCCTCCACCACCAAACCAGTTTACCACACACAATCGTCTCTCTGTGTCTCTGCTCCTCCCCCATGAATCCCACGTCGCCCTCCAGTAGCAAATCTCTGCCCACAGGCTCTTATACGTCACTGCCTTAGTACGGTGCATCCGCACGTCGGCGCATCGAAGAGATGCAGGATGCCTCTAGTACCCGGCGGGTCCAGAACATGAGCCGTATCCAGACTCGGACGAATCCGTGTAATGTGAGTCTTTCCTTCTCTGTCTTTTCTTTCCCTTTTCATCGCGCTCTGCAGTTTGTTTTTTTCGTGGCGTATCTCGGTCCTATCTCTGAGACCGAATGACATCTCTTGCATAATTGCCTGAAAGAGCCAGTTGAGGTTCAATACGCCGTTTAATACCTGTTTGCTGACAATTCATTGTGTTGCCAGATCTGCAGACTAAGGTGAGTCGTCTCCGGTGGGATATCAACCGGTGGGATGGATATTGCCCCTGCGCCTCTTCCTCCCTAGCCGCGCATCATCCACGCCCTCAGGCTTATGTGCCCTCCATCCTCACGTTACTCTACATTGGCGTCTTTCGTGCTATTGAAGACCTTGTTATCTGACCTTTTGATTGGTTCCACGCACTAGACATCTGAAATGTAAGCGAGCCCGTGGTGCGATGTGCATTATCTGTCATCTCGCCGTGCCAGTCAACTGGGATCTGAACCGACCTCCCGGGGATGACGACCAAGCCCCCCTCTTCCTCAGACTCGGAGAAAATTCCCCTGATTGTCCAGCGCCTTGTTGACCCAAGCTAGGTGATTCCAATCGTTCGACATGTTCAAATTGCCGCAAGTCTGGCGTTGAATGTACGCGTGGCTATTCTGTCCGGTTCAGACATACGCTAAACCCCAGGTTCGTGACCAACCGCGTCTTTGACGTGACCAGCATCAAAAAGAGCAACTGAACTAAAGCAGAGACTTTCCGCGAAAGTGTTCAACCGGAAAGAGGGTCTGGGGCTGCCCGAAGCGAGTACAGTTTTGCCAACAATCAGACTTGGGTCCGGACTACGAATCGATCATTCAGCTTCGTCGACGAGACAGAAGATGTTGTCAACATTCACGCCTCTAGCGTTTCAAACGGCGAAGGTGATGGCCAGAACAATGTGTATCTCGGGGCGCCACGCCGGGCTGACTCTCCGGATTACCTCGCTTTGCTCTCGGCACCGAACTCACCGGTGCCGGAGCTAAGTTCCCGAAATTCGGGTTTGAGCACCCGAGGCTCTCACGGCGATCTACGCGGCGCGGACAGAAGGCAACGGCCAACTAGACCGAGACGATCGACAAACTCAACGACTTCCGAGGCGGTGAATCGCTCACCAAAGCTACAGACTCACGCTGAAACACCAAGCTCGAACACAAATACGACTACCACTTCCATCGTGATCCCATGGGAGCGCCTCGATCTCGGAAGCGAGATCACCTTGGATTTCCCAAATATTCATCTCGCCCTCGAACCGATTGAACCAAATTTCGACGACACTCTTACCCCCCATGACCGAACGTACGTCGAAACGCCTTTATGGCCTCTGCGAGACCGCCAAGAGGCCTTCTTGTACCGATACTTCATCGACAGCCTAGCGCCGCTTTTTGACTTGTGCGACAGCGGGAGGCACTTTGCGAGGGTAGTCCCTAAACGTGCGGTGTATTGTCCAACTTTACTCAATGCCATGTTTTCGGCTGCAGCGAAGCGACTGAGTCGTACAATGGGCGTCGATGCCGTTATTGCGGATAGATACCACCAAAGATGCCTTCGGTCATTGATTCCGGCCTTGTCTTCATCGACTGCAGTAGTTGACGACAACTTACTCGCGGCAGTGGTGATCCTTCGGTTCACGGAAGAGGTTGACATCGGTTCCATGACACTTGAGTCTCATTTGATGGGCACTAGGATTCTTCTAGCTGCCCAGGCGAACGCCGCCGACTTCAGTAGTCTTCGACTGTCGGCATTCTGGCTTGCACTCCGGCAGGAGATTTACATGGCTTTCGTTCACACTCGGCCCGTGCACCCGAACTTCTTTCCGAGCATCCGAAGGATATTGGAACGCAAAGACGCTGACGATACTACGGCGGACTGTTACTACGCAAATAAGGTCATAGGTATATGCGCGGCATGCCTTAGCCACTGCTACGGCCAAGAAAACCACCACGGAAAGTCGTACGTCGAGTTGAAGCAAGAGCTGGAGGACTGGTGGAGGGAAAAGCCGTGGTACTTTCAACCCATGTGGGCGAACCAGGACGCCGGTTTATTCCTTCCGGAAGAACAATACATTACGGATGCCGCAGTCACCGGTTTGCAACACTATCATCTGTCGCGCATGTTGTTGATTGCACACAACCCCAAGGTTCCGAGGCTCGGAACCGCTTTCCGAGTGATGGAGGAAGAATTGAAGCAAACTGTCCGAGTGATATGCGGGCTTGCAGTGGTAAGTGTGTCTCGTTCAGTTGAGCTGCTCTACGCCAAAGATACTAGCGGCTAACGATACTTTGGACGCAGGCAAACGAACGAACGGCACCGGCTCATGTGTAAGTCTCCCATCGGCCCCACACTGCCCGTCCCGAAAACAAGGTCCTAATATGTGGACAACAGCAACGGGTGTATAGCTATTGCAATGGCAGGCGACCGGTTTACCGACCGAAAAGAACAGGAGGAGTTGTACAGAATCCTCCTAAAAACCGATAGAAGACTAGGATGGCCTACTCACGCAGCGTAAGTCCCCCTGTTCGGCCCGATTACATTACAACCCCGGAGCCCGCCTTGCTAACTGACTGCTTTCAGACGAGCCCAACTTAGAGAAGCTTGGGGCTGGGAAGAAGACTCGCCATCGCCCCCATCCATGCCTATTGCCGGCATGTTGAACGCCAATGCCCGGGCGCGCGACGCGGAGAGCACATAAGCTGAGAGATGGGACGAATGTGAACTGATGTTTTCCTTGTAGATATTATTTATAATCATTGATATTTCAAATTCCACCATCCTAAAGTCAATCTCTATATCTCCTCGTCGCACTGTCTGTGCAGCTCGTCTAGTCCATGCTAATGCGCTCTGTCGTCTACTCATTCCAATCATGACCCATACCATAGTTACCGAAATCATTCTCCCGACTTGATCTCTCGGCGCCATAACTTCAATGGCATTGCATTGGGCATGCAGTTCATTGCTTCCCGCCGTTCGGGCTCCCATTCGGGGTATGGCAGGGCAAACTCGTACCTGTGCAACACACTCGCGAGCAGTACAGTCTGTTCGAGGTAGCTGATATTCCGACCAATGCAGCCACGCGCTCCCGCACTGAAGCTGACAAAGTATGGTTGCAGGTCTTTACCCTTATCACCAAGCCATCTTTCCGGGATGTACGACTCGGGATCAGGGAAGATTTTAGGGTCCCTATGAACGATGTATGCCGATATGGAGACTGTCGTGTCTCCCGGAATGAAGTCTCCAAGAATGTAGGCGCCCTCCGGAGGTGTTCGGCGGGGCAAACCGAAGGTGGTCGGCGGCACGATACGAAGGGACTCGTCCAAGCAAGCGCGCAGATATGGCAGATGTTTGATCTTGTCGTATGGCGCCACGATCTCATCCACGTCGAGAACCGAGTCGATTTCTCCCCGCAGCTTGGCCATGCATCTTGGGTTCTTCAACAACCAATACATGACGTTGTTCATCGCGATTGCTGTTGTGTCCGACCCTGCGTTCATCATAATAGACACTTCGGCGACGATTTCACCCCAGTCGAGACCGTTTGGAGTTCCATTCTTATCTTCCATCAGAGCCTGAAAGAAGTCGGACAACTTCTCGCCTGCCTGATACCGCTTCAATCGCTGGGTAGCTCGGTGATAGACAATACCGTCCCAACCTTTGTTAAGGCCCCACCACTTCCGGAAGGTTGGCGACAGGTAGGATGTGAGTCTTTGGTTGAACTTGTACCACTCTGCGGACCAGACCGTGATGGACTGGGCAAGTGCTGTGGAGTGCAGACAAGCTCTAAAGTTAACATCGTGGATGCTGCCATCCATACGCTCAGCACGAACAAGATCATGGCCTTGGTCGAGGAACCCGAGACGCTCGCTCAAGCCAATGTCGGCAATAGCATCGAGAGTGAAGAAGTTGGTCCAGGCACGGTAGTCGAATGTGAGATCTTCGGACTCTGGACGAAGTCCAACCTTCAATGGCTTGGTGCAAGCCTTGTCGGCGCCACGGATAAATCGTTCCGCCTTGTCGGAGACCTTGTACTCCCAACTTTCCAGGTTCTTGAGGGCGTACGCGGCCGATAGGACCTTGCGCTTTCGCGCATGTTCGGCCTTGTCGACAACGTCTGCCAAATGGAAGTGGGTTCCGGACAGTGTTTCATAGAATTCTCCTTTGAGACACTTGGATCCATGGCCGTAGATATCCTTGATGGCATCGACGGTTCCATATGAAAGGGAGTTGGGTCCGATGCGTAGCACAGGGTGCTTTTTGTGCTTCTCATAGAGAGTCTTCGATCGAAACCCGAGAGCAGCCTCTCGCATGAAGACGAGATTTGTGAGGCCAGCTAGGGGCTTGAAGGCAGGGTAGCGTCGAAGCCTCTTGGGGTCGCGGAAGTACTCCACGGCGGGATATATGATGAGGTAGAGGACGGCAAGCACCAATGCCACCGCGGGCACGAGTGCGGAATACATGGTGGATGGCCTTTTGGTCACTTGAGACAGTATTTCCGCCGTGTTATGCTTGGGAGAGGAGGCAAAGAAGGCAAAGGGCGCTGAGGAGGAAGAGAGCAAGACGACTGTAGTCAGAGAGGGCGAGCATTGAAATAGATATTCCAGAGCGACCTCAAGGCCAGCTGACTTCCCCACAAGGGCATGAACTTACGCGGGACTACCTCGATGTATCACAGTGCTATCGTTGAGGCGAGGTAGCAATCCGCGGGTTTACCAAGGACATTCACGACATCCCGCACTCTGGGCTGAACTTCTAGCGCCGGCGAAGATGTCCAGAAGGACCAAAAGTTGCCTATTTGAAGTAATCACTTGCCTATCCTGTCAACGACTTTCCAATCCCATCATTAAAGTGCCGTTTGTTGACGCAGACAGCGGCTCGAGCAGGGTCCAGAAACTAAGGGATATGGTTCTGCAGTGACAACCCCCACATGCTCCCCGCAATCCCCGCGCTCTACGACCGATCCTGCATCAAGACTTTCCAATCTCGGATTTCCAGGATAGGAAAGTTGCCTATCCGAGTCAGTTCCCCATCTTTAAGGCCAGCCTCCCTTGGTTTCTGGTCCAAAATAGCAAGTTTTCTGGTCGCTGACGGAGAATCTTAGCTCCCGACTTGCCTTTTCAATGTCAGAAAAGCAAGTCGACTCTCAGATAGGAAAGTTCGCTAGCGCATGACGCGCCGCGAATTGCCAAACACAGCGTCCCACCCACACGGATAGTTGGCCGTCTACGGGGATGGTTGGGACGACGGCACCTTGATAATAAGCCTCATCGACGTCGCTAATGTCTCTCATTTAAGTGGTCAAGTAGGCCAAATTTCTATTTCTCCAGTCATACCTCCGTCACATCACACTGGAACTCCTGCATCCGCCACTCCCCTCTCTCACCACTCGTAGACGTCTCTCGCCAGTGATGGCTATCGCGACGCTCTCGTTCGCTGAAACCATTCAAGATTGGCGACGAGCCGCTCCGCATGTGACGAGGTCAGCCACTGTAGGCAATACGAGTATACGGGGGTAATTGCCAGCGGGTTATCGCCGGGTCTAGAGTGTTCCTAATGCCTGCTCCCTTGTTCACATTATGTGTTCCCAACAGATGTGAACAACACCAAACACGAAAGATATCTCAAGCTGTAATGTGTTTTTCATTACAACCGGGCTAACTATTATGACCGGGCTGACTATCATCATAGCAAACATTACATAGCCATACTCCATCCGCCGACCGGAATAGAACGAGTTCTCTCATGTGTGACGTTCCTGCCTGGCAACCAGGACTGCCCCTTGACCTTCAACTGCAGCCTCAAACTTTGCCGAGCTACTAGATGGGGTAGATGAACTGTTTGTTCTGCAGGTCCGTCAGGTCCAAAACTGCAATGTCAACCTTGACCCTGACAACCTCTCCGTTCTCATCCACTTGCTCCACGTAGCCTTCGCGCTCATCATCACTCAAAGAGGCAATATACTCCCTCCTCTCCGCATTCCTTCTCGCCAAGATGAAGTGGATGATCCACAAGATGACTGGTGTACCTACCCAGCTGACCGTGATCATAGATACCCATGCACCATAGAACCTCGGCGCATTGCTGGGGATCCAGATCTGTGGAGACACAAGATTTCCGACGCTGTATCCCAGCATAAACATGACATTGCGCGTCAGCTTCTTGGTGTACCCAGCGGCTGTTGACGTGGTCCAGCCCAAGGCAATGATGTATGTGACGCCATAAGTCGATGCTGCTAAGATAAGACACCCGAGGAGCCCGATCTTCTGCTCCCAGTCGACCGTGGTCATCGCGATACCTCCCGCGACAGCGGGCATACACCATACGGTTCCGTGGAGAGCCAGATTACTTGGCCATCTTCGCAAAGCCAAAGTCGCAACAATACAACAGGCCACGCCAAACGCGCCACCTGCTGCGGCGACGAGTGTAGACCCAAGAGGTTTGATGCCAATGGAGGTGGTGATGAGGTTCTTCTGCCCGTAGTTGAGGTTGTTCGAGTACATTAGCGTGAATGACTGCAGCGCAAAGAGCCATGACACGGGATCCTTCATCGTCTCGATGAACTGCTCCTTCTTAAAATGCTTCTGCTCAATCGAGCTTTGCTGGGCTTTGTGTACGCGGCGAATGACCTGGACCTTTTCTTCGAGAGTGAGGAAGCGCGCCTCGGCGGGGTTGCTGGGGTAGTCGATCCACACCCAGATGGCAAGTATGAGCGTCAGCCCGCCGGTAACGACATGAAGAAGCTTCCAGGGTAAGACCGGGCCAGTGCTCCATAGGAGGCCGTAGGAGATGAAACCAGTCAGGATAGGCGCTGCTTGACAGGTGATCCACAGCACGGGCTGTAGGAAAGACTGTTCATGTCGATTAAAGAACATGCCGATAGTGACTTCCATTGCGGGAACGATAACGGCTTCTGCAGCGCCGAGAGCGAGTCTCATCACCACAAGTCCAGCGTATCGAGTTGCGACACAGTGGAGGAAGATGATCACTGCCCAAATGAAGACAGTGATTGCAACGTATTTGCCAAAAGGCAACCGTTGCATCAGATAGTGCCCAGGCCATTGGAAAGCTAAGTACCCTATGAAAAGTGAGCATTGACTGCGTTGGATTTGAGCAGGTATCCATACCGACGTAGAACATGGTGTTCAGGTTGTTATACTGCGCTTGCCTAATACCGGTTTCCTCGAAGAGACCCAAGATGGCAGCGTATCCCAGTGTTGACTTGTCGACCTAAAGAAGGAAGACGTAATAAGTATCAACCAAACTTTCATATTGCGAATGCAACTTACGAAAAGCATGATGTTGATGGCAGAAAGAAGCGTCATGATGCGCCAGTACAACTTCCGTCGCAGCTTCTTCTCCGCTTCGGGGGTAAGTGAACCGAAATCATCGCCGTGCTGCTCAAGGAGCCGCAACGTGACGTCGGCGTTCTTCTCGCTGACGGTCTTGCCCTTTGGGGGACTTTTCACCGAAGGCTGAATCTCTTTTTCGTCGGCCATCGTGACAAGCGCTGTCTGCTATGGGCTGGGATGTAACGACCAAGGACCACCCAGTCAGAGCATGTAAAGCAACGAAGCCACATGCAGAACATCTGAGAACAGTCGCTGCAGCCTCATGGCTTTTATTGCACATTCTAGCAATGTGCAGTGGAGCCGGTGATGAAGCGCTGGAAAGGCGCAATCGACTTGAGAGTTCTTGTCACTCCAATGTTGGATCGTTCTTCAGGATTAGCCCCACCAACGCGCGATGTCCCCCCGCTATCACGCAATCTCGTGGGATGATGAACCAAGCCGTCTAGGTTGTCTTAATGGAAAGGCTTGATAATTCGTCCTTTGAAATGGCTTAAGTGCGCCATTAAAGATTCTGATGCAATTGAGCCAAGTAACTTGAAATCATAAGGGTTTGAGAGATTCAGGAGACTGGACCTCTAATGTTCGCCATGTGCTGCCTCAGGTCTCAAGGTATCCAGGACGCTCTGCAGAGATATGTCCTTGGCTTAGAAATTAGCCCGAAAACAATGGTTGTGACTTAGAAGAAAATTGGGCCGAATCATTTTTACGGCGTCCCGGTTAGCATCTAACCTGGCGACCCCGAACGTTAGCAAGCATTTTGTCTAAACAGTACGTCCAAGCATATTCTGGTCGTACGATAATCTTGTGCTGTAAGGTTTTCAGTTCAGTCTAATGCCCGAATAGACAAATCCGAGCTGAATAATTGCTAACGCCGATCCTCAATCGTTAATTTGTGATTGCTATTCGGGAATGTCTTGACTCATGCGCGGCGTTTACCGGCTACTCGGTGATCCACGCCGGGCGAATGGATGCCAAGGCCCTTAAACCATTCAAGTCCATCCCCCGTTCCATCGGCTGTATTCGCCATGGTTCTCGGCTGCGAGGAGGCGTACTTCACTGAAAGGGTGGAAGGAAAATACCATACAGAGCCCCGGACGTCCGAGTCGCGCTCCCCACAATCGCGGTCCTCGCCTGTGGGATATGGCGTATTGTAAGAGCCGGGATTAGGATATTAGGAAAGAAAAGAAATATTTCATATAAGTCTCGAACTATGACAACCTTCCTTCAACTTTCCGTGTCCTTACTATTGACCAAAAAGAACAGAAAACCAAACCAGCATCGGAATTGAAACCATCCTATAGTTATTATACTTGGCCAAACTCAGATGAAATTATGAAAGCCGGCTATTAGGACATCAAATTTCCCCACTGCTGACGATGTCATGAAATGCCTTCCGACTGGCAGCGTATGTTGCGCCAACAGGGAACCCGCCGGGTACTCTGGGGAAGACTGAGCCATCGACAACCCTAAGTCCCTCGACACCATGAACTCGGAACTTTGAATCAACACAGCTATCAGAGCTGTCCTTGCCCATTCTGCAGCTGCCAGAGGCATGATGGCTCCAAGTGTGATCTCGGATGTGCTGCTCAAGCGAACGATCTGCCGGGGGGTCAATCACCTCGAAGGGCTGATACGGCTCTCCAGTGGCGTTCATAATGGACATGAGATGTTCCAGGCCCTCGGAAAGAGCAGCGATATCAACCTCGGAATCCTCCTGGTAAAAGTTGAAGTTGACCTCTGGGGTCTCCCGGGGGTTGGACGATCGAAGCCTCACGGTGCCTGTCGGATTCCCGTTTTGCATCTTCACGACAGCCCAGAAGAAGGATGTTGGCGGCCAAGTGATTTCGCTGAATCCAGGGTAGTGACCATCAAAGACGCCACCGGCCGCACCGAACATGATGAGATCGGAGTCTGCGTTCCTGGAGTGGTTGGTTCGATACAGCATGAAGATGGGAGCAGCGGCCTCGCCATATGCGCCATGGCCGGCCTCCCATTGCGCAAGGCAGGGGTCGGTCTCCGGGCTATCAGGCGTACATCTTGCGAAGGGGCTGTTCTCCCATGCTATGTTGGACTGAACATTAATGCCTGCCTCGTAGTTATCCTGGAGAAACTCCCCCTGGTAAATTTGTCAGTGTGAAGGGATTTCTTGCGGGGAAGCCATTGCTTACAACGGCAGGAAGTTCAACAACGACTGGGATGCCGAATTTCTCCAACTCCTGTCGAGGTCCAATTCCACTGAGCTTGAGAATCTGAGGAGTGTTGAATGCTCCACCCGAGATGATCACTTCTTTCCTGGCCGTAACAGTACGTAACTGTGGCTCGACCGAGGGGTCATATCGTTGGTCGGCCTCATAAAGACCTTCTCCAACCATGTACTCCACACCATAGGCTTTCAAGCCAGGGCCGGACTTCTTCGTCAGGATTCGTGTCGCAAGGCTGTGGGTACTCAAAGTCAAAGGGTATCGTGAATTTCCATCTTCACTGGCCGAAGCCAAAGTCTCGGCGACGTAGTTCCAAGGGCTGCTTCTGCGGCGGTTCTCGTCAACGTGTAAAGGTATCTGATACACGCCAGGGATCTCGTAGCGATCAGCGCCAGGGCGGTTAAGATCTCTCTCCATCAGCTCGACGACTTGTTCGGAATCAGGTGCTTCTATGCCCTCCGTCTGGAAAATGGCATTTTGAACCACACGGAGGACACCCGGGCGGTCAACTACAAATGAAATGTTGTTTCGGTTCGTCTGATTTCCGTCAGCTTTGGGGTTATGGCAAGAGGTGAGGGGCTTCCTACGGAAATATATCCGTCAAAGCCGTGGCCTGGGGTCCCTTCAGGCACGTAGGTGTTTCTCTCAAGCTCGACAAACATCGACCTCATGTTTTCAGGGCCCCAGGAGTCATCGCCTGTAACCTCGGCGAAGTGGGTCCAGTCACTGTCGGGAGGGAGAACCACATTCATGGCATTGGCTATCGCTGAGCCCCCAACGGTAGCTCCTCTAGGATAGTATATGCCAAGTCTAAACCGATGATCAGTGTTCATCCTAGCGTTGACTCGGTACGTGACTTACGGGGTTGCATCCTCGGGAGCATCGATGCCATACCAGAGAGTGCCGTTTGAAAGACGGTAGGTGAAATAGCGATCGCGACGAGCTTGAGTCTCATTCTGGTAGTGAGACACATAAAACTGCCAAGACATCTCCGGGTGCTCCGAGTTGACATCCGCCCTGTGAATGAAGACCATGAGAACGAAGCTGTGTATACTGAGCAATCCATCACTCACAATCCGGGGATGCGTTGAAGATTGTTGTCACCCATGTTGCCTCCAGCCTCAATGAGGAAGACAGAGTGACCCTCGCGAGCTAGGCTTGCGCTGGAAATTGTCAGTAATAGAAGAGAAAACGGAAGGGAAGTCTTACGCTAAAGTGCCGCCTCCAGGTCCTGAGCCTACAACAACATAGTCATAAGCTGTATCGTTGGACGGACTTCCAGTAACGCTGCTACTGAAGAGTAGAATGGAGGCAAAAGTGAAAAGCTTCTTCATCGTGTGTAGATTGGGTTTCAATTACAGTTTTTGGATGCAGGGCGGTATTCACAATTGTTGAGCCGAACTGGTGAAATACATGTCTTATATATGATTTGCTGCCAAGACCTTTTGAAGACCTTTTGTTGTCGAACAAAGATCTTTCGTTGAGATGACTGTCTCTGCTGTGCGACGCGCAACCTTGGGGCATCGTTATGGCCTCTGCCAAGTGTTGATCATCATCGTCCTCATTACGCATGCTTCAGCGAATGCGCAAATTGGTGGCTAAGCAGGCCGGTTCATGAATCCTTCATCGCTGTAGCCTGTCTTCCAAGACCACCATGCCGCTGGTGGTCGGACTTGAGGTTGGGCGCAGTCAGTTGATATCGGAGTTACGGACCATAGCCGTCAAAGCACTAGCGGTGGCTGGCCTACTTTCGGATTAAACGATGTAAGCTGACCAACTTATCCCGAAGACATGTGTCCCAGGCCAAGGCCCGCCAACCGAAGCCCATCAGCCCTTTAAAAGCGACCACAGTCCGCCAAGACCTCTGACGAAGTATGGCTGCGCAGAGACGAAAGCCGAATCAAAATTTCTGGACTGTGCTGGTGAGCTGCGAATTGGCAGACGTTCGACCCAACGTCATCGTACCTCTGCTGTTGCTGCTGACATATGCATTTCATCGCGGCATTTGTCAGACGCCAAGAACAGTGCAACGCACGTGAAATCGGCAAGAAATTCGGATGTGCAGCAGCTTCATATTAATCACCCGTGCTTGTCTCCTCCACCGGCAGACACTAAAGTTGCGAGATGCTTCAGATCCGCCAAATCCATCTCTTCAGGTTGTGATGGAGTAGCCGTGATCTCATCCGATGAAGCCCCATTTTGGGCTGGAATTGCTTCATCGGAACGAGGGTTAAGTGTAGAAACAGGGGTAGCAACACCGGTGGACAGTCGCCCAACCGCTGGATCTCTTTGTCCAATGTCCTCCAGTTGGTGCTCTGGCTCATTCTCATCGCTATCAATAGACACAAGCTCATGAAGTCTATTGCGTCGTCGAATGGTAGCATTTCCAATAGTTCGCATGGCACCTCCATTGGGAAACGCGGGCTCCACCATCGTTTGTCTCCTGCGCCGGAACATTCGTCGGAAGTAGTCTCGAAAAGCGGGCATGCAGGAGCAGAAGATGAAGCCGTTTAACTCAACAAAGGACCAGTTCGAAATTGGAACGATGTCCCCTAAAGTCCTGGCTTGAGTATCAAATGAGAGGGTCTTGATCGAACTTGAGACTCACAAGTAGGATTGGATGTTTTCATGAAGTCGTTGATTGTGCTGAGCCGAAGCACAGACACGAGAGTAATTCTGCACAAGGCCATTCAGTCATTTGTCTGTGCTGAGGAATATGCATCATTTGAACTTACAAAAGTGCGACGGCGAACATCATTCCGGCGCCAATCTTCTGCCTCCACCGCCAATTCAACCTCAAAATTTGAGAGATCGGCATGCTAACTACTATTACATCCAATGCAATGTTGACACTGGCGTGGGCCCAAGTCTGGAGGTTGATATCGTGGCAGCGACCATGGTGTTCCCCGTCCCACCGAGTCCAAGTGTAGCTGATTGGCCAGCATTGAAACATGGTGGCGACGAAGAAAGAAATTGCTGAGGCGATGCAAGCCCAAATGACACCCCACGTAAGCTTTCGGAACCGTTCATCGGAAAAAAGACGAAGGTAGAAGAAGAGGAAGTTCGTTTTCGCAAACAGAACTGTGAATGCGTAGAAGTGTTCACTTATGTAGAACAGCTGCAGCAAATTAGCAGTTGAAAGGGCTTGAGCAGGTCTTGACCAACTTTGAAAAACTCATTGATCTGATCCGGCGTGAGTGTATATATCTTTTCCGAGTCCTGATTGAACAGCTACGAAGGCTTGTTAGTTGAGAGTAGTAAATCCGAAATCAAGAATACTTACTAATGACAACTAGGACGCTCATAGGCACAGACATTGCCTACCACAACACGTGGCAGTTAGTAATGTGAGCTTGATGATACTGTCAGAAACAACAAACCATGGTAAATATCAGAGCGTAGTCATCAAGCCCTATGCTGTAATCAAACCGGGAGAGCTGCGAATATTCGCGGATGCCAACGCTGACGATGGCGACAAGCGCGCCAGCAACAGCGCTCGCAGTAGCAGAGGTACCCTTATCGCGAACTGGTAAACCACAAATACCAGAGAGAATTCTTTGTGTTTCTACCACATTTGTGTTAGGATTCTAGTCAACGGATTCAAGATGTTGCAGCCATTCGGCGTCCAATTGAAATAATACGGTTTCTTGGACTAGGCACTCACTCAAACCATTGATTACAGTGCAGTTTTGAAATGCGCATCCAACAGCACTGTAGAATTGCGAATCAGCGCACAGGAAAGGAATTGAAGACCCTGAGACTGGCGATGAAGCCATGGCATTGGATATGCAGCGACCCTAGTAAACTTAGCACTGAATTGAAAGACTTCGGTCCTGGATGCATAGTCTACTACCAGCCGCCAGGGCAGACAATGTTAACAAAACGTAACCTTACCGCGCACTCAGGGAAAAGCTGAAGTAAATCCGGGGATGCCAGGGAAGACACCCCCGGTTCAAGGCCGGCGACGAGCATTATCGATATTACTGTCGCCCCGATGGTTCCGACTTATTCGAATGGCAACGAGATGGTCAAAATGAGCACAAATTGAACCTCTGGACCAGCTTCTGGAAGGTAACGACGCACACTTTTGCTGCCCAGTGATGAGGTTGCGGTTTTGAGGTCTTTCAATTGCTTCTCAACCCCTCCGCAGAAACCACGGAAGCATGGGTATCCCTCAGGCAACAAAAATCGGAAGTCGATCTACCTGGGGGCGTTAGTTAGCCACGTTAAGCGCAAAATACCCCCTACTTATATAGGGGGCGAAAAAATAAGGTTTCTACCTAAAAAAAAGGGGTTTCTAGCTAGTTACGTAAAAGTTATATTTTTTTTATTTTATTACTAAAAAACGTCCTTTTTAAAACTATACTATAACCTAAAACTATACTTTTTTTTAATTATTTCTTTTAATTTTTATTATTAAGATATTTTATTAAAGTAATACTAACTTAATACTTACTAAATAAGTTATATAAGTATTATATACTAAATAATATTAAGCTTTTTATTTTAGTTACTCTAATAAACTTCTATTTATAGTATTATTAATTTAAGCTATTACTAGAGATTATAAAGTATTTTATATAGTAATAAAGAAGTATTTAAAAGTTTTAAAAGTTAATTATAACTTCTTTATATTATTTTAAAAGGGTAGCTAGCTAAAAGTAGTAATAGAAGTTAAAAACTTAGCTTTAGTAATATTTATAATATAGCTTAATATTATTAGTTTTTTAGTAATTTTAATAATCTTTAAAAAGATAGCTAACTTATTCTAAGTTACTTAAAGTATAAGCTTTATATTAAACTACTTTATAGTATTTTAGATAGCTAACTATTTAGAGTTCTAAAAGGGATTAAAGATTAAGCTTATTAAGATTTATTAAAAAAGTATTAAGTTTAACTTAGTACTAATTTAGAACTTTTTTAATTAGTATAATATTATAGTTTAAGAATATAATCTTAAGTTTTCTAAGATATAGAATATTAATAAGTCTAGCTACTATATTAGTTACTTTAATAGCTATATATATATATTATTTTATTTTAAGGATAATAAAAATAAAATAGACTATAAGAAGTTATTAATCTAATTAATAGAGAGTTATATACTCTTATTAGTATTAATAATACTATTAGAGATATTATTTTAGTTTATTTTATCTTTAAAATATAGCTAATTATTATTTAAGCTAATTATAATATTAATAAGAGTATTTACTTTATATAATCTTTTATTACTTTCTCTAACTAAGAGATTATAATAGATTATATTAAGTATTTTAATATATATTTATTTAAGTATTTAGTGAAGTTTTAGTAACTTAAGTATACTATAAAGTTATAGTTTAGTATTAATATTTATAGAAGCTATTCTAATTAGTTTAAGATATATAGTATTATATTAAAAGTTTATATTAAGTTATATAAAGATATCTTCTAAGAAGAATTTAATATAAAGCTATATTATTTATTCTTTTTAGATAGCTTCTCTAGGTATATTAGTATAGATCTTATAGAATACTATATTAACTTTAATATTATTACTAGGTTTTTTCCCTTTTATACTATATATCTATTTTAATTTATAGATATAAAAGTTTTTTAGCTATTTAAGAAAGCTTATTAGATAGTATTATAAGAGTTTATATAAAGTAGTAACTTTATTTTTATATATAAAGATTTTATTAATAAGTTTTAGTAAATAATAAATATAATATTTATTTAGGTTAATATTATAATAAAGTTTAAAAAGTTAGGTATTTAGCTAATTAGAGATAATATAGTTCTCTCTTAATTAGTTAAATATATATAGTTAGCTTAAGTTAATATATTTAGCTACTTTTTTTACTACTTACTAAATAAAAATAGGTTTAAGAGAGCTATATTATAAGTAAATATAATTAAGTAATATTATACTACTAAATAGAGCTCTCCTATTTAGAGGAGTTATAAAGTAATCAAAGCTATAATTAGTAAGAATAATCTATATTATAAGAGAAGGTAAAAATATATTATTAATTAAAATAAATATATAGAGATATAATAATATAAGTAGTAGATTTAGTAAAGTATTAAACTAGTTTACTTATTTATTATAAGTTTAATATTTATAGAGATTAAAAAGTATTATAAGAGGTAAATAGAAGAAGCTTTATAAAAAAAACTTAAGTAGTAATATATTACTATAAAAAAAGAAGCTTAATAATAAAAGAAGGAGTTCAAAGTAAAGTATAATATTAATAAGTATTAACTAATTAATAAGTATATAAAGAAGTTAAACTTTATATTATAGTTATACTATATTAGTAAGTTTAATAACTTTATCCTTTTTAATAAGAAAAACTTATAATAAATTAAACTACTTAAGCTTTCTAAGTAGTAAATTAATCTTAACTTTATATTACTACTAAAAGAGGTATTTAATACTATTAAATATTTTAGAAAACCTCTTAGCTACTTTAATATTAGAGAGTTATTAATTTTAAAAAAGTATTACTTTAATAATAGTAACTTAGAGGTCTTTAATAATATTAATAACTTTATTAAAGAAGATAATAATAATATTATATTAAGTATTAATTTAGTTTATAATTTTAGTAATAATAATAATATTATTAATATTAATAAGTCTAAGTTACTATTATTACTAATACTAGCTCTATTAGCTATATTAACGCTAATAATAAAGTAATAAACGCCCTATTTTGCTCTATAAAAGGGTTTAATATACTTTTATATTAATAATATTATAGAAAGTAACTTTTTAATTATACCTCTATTAATATAAATAGTAAAAAAATAGAAATATATTATTAATAATATAGGAAGTAATAATATAGTTATCTTCTATAGCTTATTAATACTTATATAAAATATATAGATATTATATATATAGCTAGATAGCTTTATTTAAGAGTAATATAATAATACTACTTTTATTACTATATAATATAGTTAAAGCTAAAAATTATATTATAAAAAGTTATTAATTTAGTAAGTTAATACTAAAAAATACTATTTTTAGTGATCTAGGTAGAAACCTCCTTTTTTGGGTAGAAACCCTGTTTTTTCGCCCCCTACGTGAGTAAGGGGGCTAGCGTTAGCCTGCGCCGCTTGGACCCCTGGGTAGGCTTGCTGTGATTAGCGCGAAGAGACATGGCATATGGCGATTAGAGTTCCCGCTAATCAATAAAGCGCTTAGATTGGATAAAGTTCACGCTAAATGCGAATGATGTCCGTGTGTCGTATCACTTTGAATTTCGCAAGCTAGTCGCTACAAGTAAGTTTTGTACTAGGCACTTCGTGTTGCCTTATGAACAAAGATTAATGCTTCGCAACTTATCCGTCCAGCGGGTGAACGTGGGTGGAAATATCTATGAAGACGACAAGCGCCCTGGCAAGGACATACCCGAGGACTTCAGACCCTGCTTAAGTATCTTCAAACCCACGCGATTCATTGTAGGCTCGGTATCGCAAAATGATCGATCAGACCTGTTTGCGTAGTCGACGTCCCAAGAACCGATTGAGCAAACGTGTTTCGGTAGCTGAATTGCATGTGAAGGAAATGACGCCGGAGTAAGAAGCAGACCAAGGAAAATCGAATGCATGAAGCATAACTGTAGTCCCATTGCATATATATTGCAACATTTCGACATGAACTCGCGGAGGTAGGGCTCAATATCAAACTATTTCTGGGTCATTGGCTCGGCGTAATCGGGTGCCGTGCCGGCGCCATTCGGCCCCGACCCTATTCGGCTACGGGCCGAGCCCCGCAAATGACTGGGCCGATGAACGGAACTACTACAACGCGCGCAAGACATGGTACGTCATGGAGACTTTAAGCAGAACAGCTTCTGATGCTCCGGGGCGGCTCTGCTTTGGTACAACTTCGTACAAGTCGAACATCACTATTCTCTCTGTGCCTGCATCGTGCTCACATCAGCGTGAGGACGGTTCTGCGCGGTGCCGACCGAAGTCTCTCACACGGCACGATTATTCTCCCTATCGCAGGACACTGCCTCCTGGAACCTGCAACTTCATTTGACATGGACCGTTAGTAGCTTGGCATTTGGTCATACCAGAGATGACATGCCGCTAGCCAAGTGGCTCATATTTCCCCAAAGAGGAAATAAGGTGTACACATTCGCTGAAAAATGAAGATTGTGGAGCAGGCACCAGTGCATCCGCCAATCAGTCTCCCAAGTTGCCTTCCATTTTCATGCCTATCATCAGCCACGACTCTCCAAGTGATTTCTGTTTTTGGCTCATATACATCTCGCGACTAGGCAGACCTGTTCAGCTGTGACGACATGCGGTGATTTTCAGCCCAAGTAAGCAACGGGAGAAAATAGTATCAAATAGATATATATGTGACACGGATACTACACCCAGGCTTTTGGTGAACTCAATGCCGCATTGCAGCCTGACACTTCATCTTCATTGACCGCGCATCAACCTTACTATGTTTCGTAAGAACGCCCTTTTCACTCTGCTTTTGGCCGTAGCAGCTCCTGCCTCAGCATCTGCGTTGAATCACGCCCGAAGAGAAACAGTCGAATGGGGACCTTGCCCGGATTGGCTGCCGAGCCAGAACAGCAAAGCACCCGTTCAATGCGGGAATTTGACTGTCCCACTGGACTACGCCAGCTCCAATTCAAGCGAAACCTTTCAGCTCGAACTGCTCAAAGTCCCTGCTATCAAGGGGCCCTCGAAGGGGAGCATCCTGTTCAATTTCGGTGGACCTGGGGTTCCCGCACGGGATCGCCTAGCTTCGCGGAGCTATCTTCTTCAAGCGTAAGGAATTAGAATCCAAGATGTTGATTTGATATTGACAATCGCCAAGGACCACTGGAGGAAATCATGATCTCATTACCTGGGACCCAAGGTGCGTTTTCATGCCTCTGATGTGGCATTTCGAACGCCTATTTCAAGGGCACTTAGCTAACAGTACATGACCAGAGGCGTCGGAAATACCACAACCTTTTCATGTTATCAGAGTAGTACTTTGAGGAGCATCTTCAATTCTTTGCCAGGTCCTATGGGAAACAACTCGGACCCAGCGATGGTGGGAACACATTGGGCGTATGCCGGGGGCGAGGCAAACACGTGTGCTCTGGATCCTGCAGCTAGCGAGGCTGGGAGCCGTATTTCAACAGCGTATACCGCTAGAGATGCGATGAAAATAGTTGACGCTCTTGATGATGACGGAATGCTGAGATATTGGGGTAGGATACTTCCATTTATAAGACTCGATGTCGCAAAGACTGTCGTCGGAGCTAACGTTTCGCCAACAGGAACTTCTTATGGGACAATTTTGGGCGCAACCGTGGCTGCCATGTTCCCTGAACGTATGGACAAAGTTGTGCTTGATGGAGTCGTGAATCCACATGAATGGTACTACGGCCTGTATGTCATTCCCACCATTCTGAGATTACGATACGATACTGATACACTTTTTCTTCAGGAATTCCGAATGGGCCATGGATGCCGATTCCAGTCTCGACGCAATATTTCAGACCTGTCTCAATTCTGGAGATAGCTGCCCATTTTCTGGTGGCAACCAGACAGTGGACAGTCTTCGTGAGGAATTCTTTTCGGTCATGGAAGAGGCGAAATTGCGTCCGATACTTGTGGGATCTACAGTCATCGACAGGACGGCGATAGCTGCGGCAGTTCGCCCACAGCTGAACGACCCGAGGACCTGGCCTTTGCTCACAGTGTGGCTCAACGATCTCTTTACAAGAAACGAAACCGGCATTACTCTCGGATACTTGCAGCTGCTGGGTGTTGAGACTGATGGCGCCGGCGAGGATACAGGTGATGCCGGGGATGACTCCGCGACCGGTATCCAATGCGCCGACGCTGGATTTCGCACCGATGACTTGGAAGTCTTCCAGCCGGCAATCGACAAGATCACGAATGCCAGCCGCACAACTGGACTTGTGCTGATCAAAGTCCAAATGAAGTGTGCCCAGTGGAAAATCAAGCCCAAGGAAAGGTACGAGGGGGGCTTCAACAATATCAAAACCAAGAACCCGATACTCGTCTTCACCCACTCTTTAGATGGGTCAACCTCACATCTGTCGGCAGAAAATGTCACCGCAAGCTTTGATGGTAGCGTTCTGTTGAAATCCAACGGCTATGGAGTAAGCTTTCATCCCCGTTGACTCATGATCTTACCTTAGTCATAGGAGAGAATCGCTGATGTGTTTTGAACAGCATGGTTGGAGAGCTCAGCCGTCAGTTTGCACTGCAAAGGCCATGCAGAAGTACTTCGACCAAGGACAACTTCCGGACCCTGACACCGTATGCGATGTCGACGTTACACCGTTCAAAAACGTCACAGGTGTGATGGCGTCGTGGAACCAGTTGCTGCCCCAGATTGGCTTCGAATCGGAGTAAGAAACAAATAGAATTGATCTAGTCTTCATGGCACCGGACGCTTTTCAAGTTCAACTCCACAAGTCTTTTGTAGCTAGACGATTTGTTATTTTAGTTCGTGCATCTCTTGGAATATAAACAATCGTTTTGTTGGCTTCCTGGCAATTAAGCTTGACAGTTCGTAAGCTAATGGCTTTTAAGTTTTGCGGGTAAGAAACGCACGCCACACGAAATCAAGGATCTATCCATCTTCCGCTTTGATCTCGCCTCTTAATTAATAATCTTCTGGTCTTTGATGTTGAAGTTTGCCAAAACAACCAACCACACATGTTTGCGACAGAAAACACTCCAGAGTGACCTCCAGGTCTACATCTTGTACACACCACAGCGAGAATAATTCATTGGCAAATTCTGTCGTAGATTGAACTTTTATCTGGTGGATATTCAAACTCTTCAGGGCTAGACTAAACTTGCAGCTGCCAATAATGCATGCAATTGGTTTCTATGACACAAAAGCGTATGGTTTGTCGAAACAAGCGTCCCAGTTTGTAAGATCGCCATCCCAAAAATTTCGTATCACCCCCTTCGCATGCATTGGTAACGGTGTACCAACATCTTTGCTCTGCTCCAGGAAAAGTTCACCAACCAATCCTCGCTTATCCACTCGGGCTCCAGCCTCGACTCCAGCCACAATCAATGGCCACTGGACCGACTTCTGAAGCACTGGATGCTTCTTTCCTTCTTCCAAAAAGGAGTATAGACGGTCACTATGAGCTCTCAAGTGACTTGACGACTGCAAGACTAAGATACTCTTCAGGGCTGACAGGCAGAAGACTGCCACTGCAGATTGAAACATGAGCCCAATCAGCTCATTGTGTTCATGCTGCGCATAGAATCCCTCCCACGTTCGGGCGTCAAAGGCTTCGATATTCTTCACGATGTTATCTGCGATAGACCTCGCAGTATCCTTGCTCATGAAGCCGTTGGAGACACCATCCCGAACGTGGTTAATGCGAATGATTTCCTCGAACAGGGCCATCGGGCAGGGCATATTGGGATGTAGACCGAGTGGATACAGCTCATCGGTAAGCATAAGTAGCCCTTCGTGCGACGCTATTCTGACATGATCGTGGGACGGGCTGGTAGTGTTTGCGAAAGTGGCAGTTCTATAAGACTCGTGAGCTCATGCTTTCCAATGGCAGAATACTGTGGTTTGATCAATCACATACATCAGAAAGGATAGAAGGATTCCCTTGAGCATTGGAACCTCTCTCATCCACCCTATGGCACCCCCACGGCAAGCAAGCATTGCCAGGAGGCCGTTGACATGGTATCTCCAGTTTGGCGAAAGGCACGACTGAATCTGTAGGGCAAATCACTTAGCACAAGTGGCGGAGAAACACATGGCCAAATGTAACGTACTTCTGACTGGAGCAGGAGAATAACACCTGTCAGTACAACATCGCTGCTCTGAGTCTTTTCATTGGCGATATCTTCGTTTAGAGCACGAATTGCAAGCCCTCGATGGTGGTGCAAACGGGCTTGTGCATGTTTGAGGGAGGGACAGTCGGGTTTCCACTGTGTTTGTACACACATCTTATGTTGGAAGACGATGGAAACCATATTGTGCGCAATGGCCTTTGGTAGGAAACGGACAATGTTGATGGGTATCGCGTCTACGAAGACGTTCGCTATGCCATCCCTGTGACCAGCCGCAGTGTGAGGGTAGAAAACGGCGTTGTCTAAGTTTCATATTAGTTTCGTCTTGAGAGATCAATCCAATTTGAATGCATTGTCAATTCGACTCTTAGGGGGCCGCCGTTGGAGACTCACAGTACTGTACAGCATCATACACGTCACAAACATCCGTTCTTAACGGAGCATGGAAAATACATTCGATACCATTGAAAATATCCGTTCCGACTTCAAAATGCTTGTGTTTGGGCTGCTTGGCCGGCCTCGGGGTCTTCGGTTTGGTTGTTGGTTTTATGCTGACGGCGGTACTCTTCTTGCGCCGTGTACGACAAGTTACCTTGCCAGGAGCGAGCCAAGTCAGCGGTTTCTTGTCATCGTACCCTGGACACACGATGCCCGCAACCCGGCACTTGTTGCACACAGGTCGTGTTGCATCACAGACTAATCGTCGACGAAGGCATTCCCAGCAACGGCGTCGCTCTGGGGCCTCCGGTGACGATGAAGAGTCAGGCGAGCTTGACATGGTTATTGGAGATGTCATTACTAGTGTTTGGGTAAACGTCGAGCTGATCAGAGCTTCGTTGGCGCGAGCCGGTGCGCGGGTTGGGCCGTAAAGCTGCAAGTAACCTCCGATGTGGGTGACAGGTGGCGGACAGACGTTTCCAGATCGAGCAAGACGAAGTAAACGGAACAAGGAAGGGCGGTATTGAGTGTGGAGGGCTCGGGATCAGGTCCGCTTCGGCTTGGGGATTCTTATACAGCCTTTACTCCACGAGTGCTGGATGCCTTGTTGGCCGCCAGGATGTCAGCCTCCAAGTCCCCCAGTAGTATACTTATTTTCCCCTAATCGGGTTAAGACTGTTTTGGGTGACCTGTACTCCGCCCGAGGTGCAAGATGGGTAACCGCCGATCCATCTCCAATCAGCCCTAGGAAATGCAGCCACGGCGGGGACGGCATCATGTTGGGGGCCATTGTCTCGAGGAAAATCAAATCAGAAAGGCCGACGGAGATGGCCCCAGTATGCTCAGCCGATGACTTCACTGCCCTGGCAAAGCCTTGACATCGGCCCGCTGCGAGGGGTCAGGGTTGATTGGCCTTGTTTGTCGGAGAACTCATACTTCCCGGAGGATGGTATCCTGGCATCGTGTTTTTTGTGCCAATTTCACTCACATACAAATCCAAAGCCACAAACTGGTATCTCAGGGCTGCTATTGGATACGATCGAGCAAAGACCAGATACAGCTGAAGACGATTCGACTGCAGAAATCCTCCAAGCGATGAGGCACAGGCAGAAGTGCATTCAACTTCACAAAAACAGGTTTTCACTGCAATTCTCTCTCACCAATACGCCGCAATGCATAGTGCTCCGCGGGCGCCCGTGGATGGTAATTAGGCCCTGATCTTCTCGTTGCTAGTCGCTAGTAATTAGTAACTAGATTATATTAGCAGAGCATAAAAAAACTAAAAAATGCTTTTTTAATAACATTTTACCTAATTTAGTAGGGAAAATTAGGTAATTAATATACTTAAATTATTATTAGAGTTATATAAAGTCCCTAAGTAAAACCTTAGCTAAGATAAGCTATAAGAGGGATAATATTAGTAAAAAGTTAATTTTCTACTATTAATTTTAGTAATAGAGAAATAAACTTTTTATTACTAATACTAATAACTAGAAATTATTTAATTTTTTACTATTAAATATACTAAAATAAATAATTATTAATAAGTATTTATTATTTTTACTACTATTATTATTACTTTTATTACTATAATATATATTAATAATATCTTATATTAGAATTAATAAGGATTAAGGTTTAATTTAATTTATAAAAGTAGCTTTATTATTATTACTAAGTATATCTAATTAGTATTTTATAGTAATAAAACTTATTTTAGAAATATCCTCTATTTTAATAAATATAACTTTAAGCGCTTAGTAATATAGCTATAAACTAATAACTACTTCTAAGATATTTAATATTAAATAGTTAAGTAGAAGTTAATAATCTTTTTATTTATAATAATATATAAAGTATTATAGTATTAAGCTATTTACTTCTTCTTTATTATTTAAAACTTAATATCTTATTTAATAGATTAGCTCTTTATAGCTATAGTTATATTTTACTAGGAAGTTATATAGTAATTTAATTAGATATATATCTTATTAGATATTAAACTTAAAAAGAAGTATATTTTATTAATAGGTTATATTAGTATAATTAATAATACTCTTATTAAAGCTTATATACCTCTAGCTTAATAGAAGAGATTTTTTAGCTATAAAAGTAAGGTTTTTTAAAATATACTTATTACTATATAATTTAATAGTATATATATATATCTTAGTAAGTATAAAAGGATTACTAAATAATATAGCTCTAATATAATAAGTAGTTAGTAGAAACTTTAAAATACTATAAAGTAGGTTTTACTTTAGAGATACTAAGTTTACTTATAAGAGGGGTATTTTAACGCTTTACTTTAGTAAGAAGTATTATATTAATAAGATATAAAAGCTAAATAAAGCTAAGAATAAGAAAAACTTATATAATTAATACTATATAAGCTAGTAAGTAATTATTAAGTATACTTTTAGCTAAATAAAGTAGTTATAAAAGATCTTATAGTTATTACTATTTAAATATAGCTTTACTAAGTAAATAAAAATTATATATATAGTAATAACACTATATAACTTTATATAGTTAGAAGTATAAAAAGAAGAGTTAATAGAGTAGTAAGAAGTAACTATAAAGAAAGTGAGGTAGTAAGTAGATTAGAAGGTTAGTATATAGCTAAGTAAGGTGTTAAGAGATTATATTACTTATAGAGTATAGTAATATTATAATATTTACTTTAATAATAAGTAGTTTTATAAGAAAATAACTGTTTTTTTTAATATAATAAATATAGCTAAATTATTAATACTTCTACTCTTTAGCTATAATACTAATTTTATATAAAAAAGCTTCTTTACTATATACTAACTTAATATTTATCTAAATTACTACTTCTTTTAATAATATTACTAAAAAATAACTTATTTTAGCTACTACTTAAAAACCTAACTTCTCTATAAATAACTCTTAGAAGTTATTTATTATAAACTCTATATTATTAGTATTAATATCTTATAGTACTACTATATTTACCTTAATAATACTTAAGAAGCTATACTTAATACTACTATTAATATTACTAATAATTTAGTATTATTACTTAACTAAGTATAAAAGTCTCTTTATAGCTTAAAGTATAAGCTTAATATTAATAAGTAAGGTTATTAACTCTCTCCTCTTTTTATTTTATAACCTTTATAGTTCTAACTCTTCTTTAGCTTCTCTTTTAGAGATCTTAGATATAATATTATTTATTTATACTACTTTAATAATATATTTACTACTTAATACTTTATTAAGCTAAAAGGTTATTATATTATCTATAAATAGAAACCCCTTTTATTATATAGCTTTAAAATATAAATATTCTTTTATAAATACCTCTTAACTTTTATTTTTAGTAAAGATCTTACCTATTTTATTATTATATTTAATATCTAATTAAAATAAAGTTTTTATTTTATAATAGTTAATAAATAATAATCTAAATTTATTAATTAAAGTTATAATCTTATATACTTTTATAAATTTTACTACTATTACTAGCTTAATATTATTTATTATTTTAGTGAATATAAATAGCTATATATTAATTAATATACTTTTATTAATTTATATCTAATAGAAACTAATAAAGTACTATATAGTTTTATATAGCTAAGTTATCTTTATTAGCCTTAATAAGGAGGTCTAAGAGAATTAAATACTTTAAATTAGTATTAATATTAACTATAAAGATATCTATAAACTAATAGGGGTAGTTTAGCTAGATAGAAAGCTTCTCTTATTAATTATATATAAACTTAATATAATATATATAATCTTATTAGTATTATTAGTAACTATAAAGTTTAAAAACCTTATAAATAGAGTTTTATTAGTTATAATTATTTAGTAAAAAAATAGAAAAAGAGGTATATAGAAGTTAATAGAACCCTATTTATTTAAGTATCTCTTTAATCTATTTATACTAACTAGCTATTACTATTAATAGTTATATTTATAGTAAATTAATAAAAGAAGGAAGTAGTTAGATAATACTACTACGCTTAATATAGTAATATAATAAATAGTTAATACTATAGTTACTTAGGTAGCTAAAGTCCCTTTTGCCTTAGTTACTGGCGACTAGCAACGAGAAGATCAGGGCCTTAGCCTGGTAGACTGGAAGTATGCCCCGTCTCAGCTGCCTGCACTATCCTCCCTGAAGGCATTGCCGACCCCTAAAGGTGACATGAGCACCGCAATTGGGTCTACATCCGACGCATTCCGAATGCATATCAGTGGCTCCGGGACAACGGTTTATCGCTCCCACGCCGTAATCCAACGTCAATTCGCGACGGCTATCTCAATAAGTATGCACGTGGAAGGGATGACGGGTGGTTCCCGCTGGAAGCCATGCCCTTCTAGAGCGACCGCATCCCTGTACGCCCACGGCGCAGCCACGGCTTGAGGAGAAGACAAGGACACGCCAGCGGCGCCCAGAAATGATCGGCAAGGCGATGCTTGCGAGAGACAGGCCAAAAGGCCTCGGCATGGAGCTGAACTGCCCTAGCTACAGAAAGTCATCCGATCAGAACAACCGATTCCGCCTGATTAGGTGTACGCCTCAACATATTTGATGGTTCGAGATGCATCATTTCGTTTACTAGTGCCGTCTTAATGTGATCTCTCAGCCCTACGACGCCCAAACACGCCATTTGGTTGGTTCGAAATGCGAGTTTTCTCGTCGACGTACCCCTAACCGCCGGTCTCAGGCTGATGCAAAATTAGGCTGCCACTTAATAAATGTAAAATATGATCTGCTGGATCATGTCTCTAACTTCTCGGGGGTGGGCGGGTTTGATTGACGGAAGCGACTCCGAAATCATTAGCAAGACATGCAATGGAACCAACTGCGACCGTCTACTGTTCACTCTCCTGACCTTGACAAAAGCTTTGATGTGTTCGGCCTCCAGCGTGGGTTACTGTCGCCAGGCTAGCTAGCTACTCTGCCATGTGTCATGGTGTTTGGTTACTCGTGACGCGTCCTCCTATTCATAAGCTCTTTCGCTTTACTTGTAGATGATTCCCAAGCACATTTGGATATGGTAGGTTTACACGGTTATCACTCATTTGATGCGGGGTAATTAGGTGGATTCCGAGATAACGGGCAGGCTTCGGCGACACCATCCGTCGGGGGTTCAAAAGAGTCGGAGTGGGGTCCGATTTCCCGGTATAAACGCCGGTTACTGGAATTGCTTAAAACCTTCTTAAAGGTACATTGACAATTCATCGTGGCTTCAGAGTTCCTCTATTCAACTGTAGTAGAGCGTCATTTCGTATTCTGCAACCAATCACAGCCAGGTTATCGACAGCCTGAACAGTCACAGCCATGCGATCTACACGCACCATCACAGTGGTCGGATGTCA